CAGTTTTTTTTTTTTTTTTTTTTGTTTTTTTTTTACCGTACGGGGACACGAATACTGGACTGTCCAGGTGAATACTGGACACCTGGCAACCCTACCTCACGCGGATACGAAGGCCTGCGCCTTCCCTGCCCCCACAAATCACATGCTCCCGCAGCAGGCTCTGCGCATCACTCCTTCGAAACCAGCACCCGGGTGTTTTTCCATCGGCACGTTAACATATTGTTTAGTACAAGCGAACATCAGAGACAACTAATTTAAGCGCCGTCTGTACGGGGTGTCTTGGTTGAATTTGGCAGGCTACCCAGCAAGGCGGAAGCGACATTTGGCTCCCGAGAGGTGCTAAATATCCATGGTGCAACAGCAGTGCCGGGTTTTTAAAGGGCTCGTGACAAAACCTGCCCCGAAGGCTCCTGCCTCGGGAGGCAGTGAGGGCGCTGGGGGTGAGGGCAGGAGACGGAGCTGCGTGAGGCGTAGCTGCTAGTCTAAGCACACGGCCTGGTTCTGGGTGGGAAAACGCAGCAGTGATTTAACGTGAGGGCTCGGCAGAGGCCTGCTGCTCTGCGCAGTGCCCGGAGCTGGAAGAGATGGCTAGAAAAGAGTAGTTCATGGAGGCTGAGGTTACTGCGCACACCGGGGGTCCCCTCAGCTCCCTGTGCGCCACTCGGGCATCCCCGTCTGCAAGACGCCCTGCAATTCCCCTCCCCCGTCTCTTCCCTGCTAGGGTCTGTTTGGCCCCATTTCCCCTAGGAGGGTCCCCTGTTCTGGGCACCCTCCTCCCTTTCTTCTTTCTAACCGGGAGAGGGCTCCTTCAGCCTGTGAACCGATATTCTTGCAGCCGGGCTGGTCCCAGGAGGTTAGAGAGGCAAGGGGTGGGGGAGAGCAGCGCTTTGACGGGAGCTGCTCTTCGGCATGAGCAGAGATGAGCGAGGCTACTATTGTAAGGCGGAGGCAAGAAGATGTGAACCGGAGCCACCAGCTAGTTCTTGGAGATCTACAGCCAAAGGCCTAAGAGCTAGATCGGGGGCAGGGAACCTTTTTTGGGTCGGGGGCCACACAAAAGTGAGAAGCAAAAAAAAAATTTAAAAAAACCAAGAATTTCCCCACATCCCCTTGCACATCAGAGCCTACGGGGCCCAGGCTAGTAGATTTTGTGGCCCCCCCAACTCTCTAGGGCAGGGCCAAAAATGAGGAGTCGAGGGTGGGTGGGAGCTGCCAGGAGGGAGTGTGGATGAGCCGAGCGGGTGCTGGGGTCTGGGCAGGGGAGGGGGCTGCAGGGCTGGAGCGCTAGCACCAGCTCCCCAATGCTGGGGGGGATTCCCAAACCTCGGGGACCGGATCCAGGCAAGCTAGGGGTCAGATCCAGCCCCTGGGCTGTGGGTTCCCCACCCCCTGGGCTAGAGGTTTGAGGTGCTGCTGTGCTAAAGAGCAGGCAGGGGGTTCATCCGTCCCCCAGTTTCCCCTTTCTGGTTTGCCGTGTGGCCCAAAACCCAAGAGGGTCCTGACCAGTGAAGGCTGGAACATCCCCTGAAATGCTGGAGTGGATTGGCGGCAGCGTTCAAAAGCTCTCTGGTCACTACAGACAGAGAAATGCCCTGGCGTGAGTGTAAGGGCTTCACCCCACTACCAGCGTGGCCAGTCGTACGCCGTCACGGAAAAGTGAACTTCCTTCGCAAGTGCATGAATTTGGGCTGGGGGGAGGAGAGAGAATAGAGCCTGGTGTGTCAACATTAGCTTTAAAATCATCTGAGCTCATGGTTAAATCGTGGAGGGGTCCCTGTGCCCGCTCTTTGCTGTGCTTGGGAGGTCCAGGAACTTTCCCGAGTCTGATCCAAAACCCACTGAAGTTAATGAGCATCATTCATTTAACTTCCTCTGGCTTTGAATCAGATCCTAACCATTTCAGTCATAAGATCAAGACCACGTATTCCTGTTCCTCCAGAAATATAATTTATGCCATCATGTGCCAACAGTGTCCATCTGCTATGTATACTGGACAAACTTCTCAGACACTTTGCCAAAGAATCAATGCCCACAAAACAGACATCAGACAGTTTCACAAGGAAAAAACAGTTTCTTGCCATTTCAGCCAGAATGGGCATTGTCTCAAGGACCTGATTACCTGCATCTTGCTTCAAAGAGATTTTAACACAAGACTTCGAAGAGAAGCCTCTGAACTGTCATTCATGCTTAAATTTGACACTTTACGAATGGGCCTTAACAAAGACACTAATTATCTTACCCATTACAAAGTTAGCTTCCCCAATTATCACCTCTAATATCATTATCTCATAGACATTAACCTCTCCCCCACATCCTCCCTCTGTTCTGTAATGTGATTTGTTCTTTTCATATGTGTTCTTTTTTTTTTTAAATTGTATCCTTTGGTATATATGGTTGTGACTATTTTCTTCCACTAGTTAGGAAAGGATGGGAGGACACCAATTAAGACCCAGGATGGTTTATTCCTTACCCCTATGGTTCCAAAGCTTTCGGGTTTTCTTCTAATCTTTTTCTTGCACAGATGTCTCCATGTCCATCTGATCAGATACCAGAGAGACTTGGGGCTTGGTAAAACATTGAAGGGAGTGGGCAGAGTCCCTCCTTCTTCAAAATAACTCATCCAAAGTTTTGTTCGAGCAAACTTCCATTCAATGTCAGCATGATCCTGTACACGAGAAACATAACAACTGACAAATTGCTAAATTAACAAGGTGGGGGGAAAAACTTGCAGGGGTCTTAGAACCTAAACATATCCTGAAGTGCTAATTAAATGGCTTGTAAAAAACATAGCTGTCTCTTTGGGATAGAAATGTTAATGCAGGAATTGACTTGTTTAACTCAATAAGAGATAGTCTGGATAGCATGTCACAATTAATCTTTTTTCCATGACTACAGAGATTTAAAATAGTTAAATGCCTCTAAGGCATCAGAGGAAAATTTCAAACAGAAAAAAAATGCTAAAAGTGGTCTTTTACTATAGCATCATACAGCGTTCCCTCTAAGATTTTCCATCCATGAGTGGAGTGAGCTTTGTCTTGTGCACCAATATTGAGTTCATGTGCGCTTGTTCAGGTGTGTGCCGCTGTGGCACCCAAGTTATAAACCTCTCCCTTTCCTCCTCTGGGGCCATGTCTCGCACCCTCACCTAACCCCATCTTGCTCCCCTGCAGCCTGCTGCCTCCCCCCACCCTCACCCTTCTCTGCCATCCTGACTCCTGCCCTTCTCATTCCCCTCAGCCCTCCCAGGACTTGCCCCACTTCCTCATTCTCTCTGACCCCTGAACCAGCCCTTCCATTCCCCCTTGTGCTCATCCCTCCTCTAGGCCCCCTCCACATCCCTTCTCCTAACACCTCCCTCTACCCTCCTGCCCTGCCTTTCTTCTCTGCCTTCTGGTGCCTGTCCCTCCACTCCCCTCCCCATGTCTGCCCTTCTGCTTCACCCCCACAATCCGCTGGCATCTGTACCTTCCCTTACCCACTGCACTCTCCTGGTGCTTTCCCTTTCCCTCATTCTCTCTGTCCTCCCAACATCTGCCCCCTTGCCCTCTTTGTCCCTGGTTTCCACTCCCTCATCACCCTCTGCCCCAATTCTCCTCACACCCCTCTGCACATGACTTGCTCCATCCCCTGCCTTCCTCATGCCCACCTTCCTTTCAACGCCTCTTCTCCTAGCACCCACTTCTCCTCTCTCCTCTGCCTTCTTCTTGCCCCCATTGCCTCTCTGTTCTTCTCTCCCAGCATCACCCTGTCCCCTCCCATTTCCCACCGCCACTGACACCTTCCCTTACTAGCTTATATAAGGTGGGACCTGGGAAATGTGGTCAAAGTGGGTCCCATTTTGAGCAGGCTCCATTAATTGTCAACCTTGACAATTCAGACATCAGCAGTTAAGCTCCCCTCCTCCCCCACGAATAGCATGCGTTTAAAAATGATATTGGATTATTTTAATTTGTTTTCTGGCTTTTATGCCTTTTGAGTACTCTCAGAGAATGCTTTGTGCTTTTCCCTGCAACCATGAGTGTTGGAAGCAAGACATAAGAAGTAATTCTTCCACTCTGCTCTATACTGATTAGGCCACAATTGGAGTACTCTTTCCAGTCCTAGGCACCACATTTCAGGAAAATTGTGGCAAAATTGGAAAGAGTCCAGAGAATCTCCATCATGAGAGATTTTTAAGAGCAGTTTAAACAAACACTGTCAGGGATGATCTAGATGGTCCTGCTATGAGTGTATGGGACTGGACATAATGACCTCTTGAGGTTCCTTCCAGCCTTGTGATTCTGTGATTCCATGAGGGGTGGAAATATATTTTTAAAAATGAAAGTTGAGATTCTCTCTTAATCATATGCGTTCAGGAGATGAGTATTTAAATAAAAAGTAAATATAGTGAGAGTTGCAATCAAATTGTGAGAACTGACAACACTAGTTGCTTTCGTGTTTTGAACACAGTGCTGTACAGAGTTGTGGGTTTGTTGCCATATAAATAGATCTGGGCAGGAAACAATGTTCTTGCCCTATTCCACATTAGAATAAAATAGGATAAAACTCTCTATCCATTTTTTATGGGGAAGAAAAGAAGAGAAAATGCCTTCCTTCGCCTACCATATGGGAGACCCAGGTTCAAGTTCCTGTTTATAATAGATAACTTAAAAAAATTGAAATAAAATGATTCTTTCAAAATTTTCTTTTACAGAGAATGTAAAAAAAAAAATATCTGATTTAATTCCTAATCAGAGTAAAACCAACTTCTGAAATTCTGAAATCCTAAGATCCATCATGAAGTGGCATTTATGCTCTTCCCACAGTTCTAGTAATGACTGCAACTGCTAAGGATCCATCCATGTAATGGGTATTAAGATATCTTAAAAAAAAGTTAAGTTTCTGATTAAGATAAAGACATAGTTGTCCTTAAATGAGAAAATGGGAACACTGCAGCTTGCTTATATTTCATCAAATCAGATACAACTACAACTTTGCATTCTCTGTTAGCAGGAGAGCCAGTGCGATTTGTAAAAACACCACATCATGAAACAATATCACTTTCAGTTAACAGACTCTCTCTTGCAAGGGATTAAAACTTGCATAGAGACTTAAAGAACTGAAGGTGGGGAATTAAATATTCAAAACTCTCTCAATGCACTCTCTCAGATCCTGCTATCCCTGCTTAAGCAAATATCTGTTTAAAGTAGATACGTGCTTTGATTTAGCAAGAAATGAAGGATCCTTCTTACAGCTACACTTATGCTTGTCCCAATAGCTGAGATTTTCAAAGTTGACTAAGGAATTTAGACACACGGTTCCCATTAATGTTATCTTTGTGCTCAGCAAGAATCACTAGATATAGTACCAACCACTGCTTTGGCTTGAAGTCTGGAAAATAGCCTGTGAACGCTTAATCTGTCTTGACTGTTAAACAGAAAATATGCGACTAGACTGTTGCAGATTCCTGATTCTGAGGGCAAATCCTGGCTAGAACAGCCTGCTCCAATCCAGGGTTGTCATCAGCTGGCATGATAAACCCTGCCTTTCCCACAACCCAACTGCTATATCAGGAGCATCAGAGCAGCAGTCAGAATTCTGGGAGAATTCTCATCTGGCCAATTCCAGCATTTCTCTAGTCTGTACTTCCAGGATAGTGCAAAGGAACTAAAAGCAATTATAGACTCTATCCCTGTATTCTATATTTGGATGGGATTTAATGCTGGAACATCTGAAAGAAAATACTCATTGCAAGTGATTTAAATAAGGAGAAATAACTTACAGCAATGAGCTGGTAAGAGTTATTCATCATGGCTATTAGCATGTTGAGTAGAACAACCAACGAGATGACATTATAGGTTCCAAACATGGTGGCCCCAACAAACTCCGTAAATTCATGTCGTGCTTTTACATTGGTCACGTACAGATTGATAAGACCAAATATAGACCAGAATAATGACTGTAAAGTTTCAAATAATCTGAAATATAAAGAAATAAGAGTCAAATACACATCTCCAAGTGTTTCCCCACATGCTTGGTCAAAGTCCTTTGTGATACCAGAGGACAAGCTTTGCCCTGGTACAAACAAAAGTATGTAATTTCCCAGGGAAATTTTCTAACTCTCCAAGCTTAAATCCTTAAAGCAAGGCATCTAAGTACATAAATATGCCCTTCAGTGAATTGCTGATCCTATTCAAATCTGCGCTCAGCACTTCTGAAAACCAAACCAGTTATTTAAATATAGGCACCTACATTTGAAATTTGTGGCCAACATGCCTAAAATTGATCCTACTGATGTCAGTGAGATCTTTGCTTTGATATCAATGGGCAAGAATTGGACCTCTAGAATAATTTGATGACTAAATTTCAGCAGTGGGTATGCCATATGAGAAAAGCAATAGCAGTGGGTTAAAACTTTGTTAGTATCAAAGAACACTTTGCATGATCACTCAGTAATGTGCTTTAATAATATCTAATTGCAAAGGATTGCCCATAATTAGCATACATACATGTTGTTTAGTAAAGAGCTCAGAAATTCAAAGATACATCTGACAATTGCAAAATGACATTGTGTTTCTTCAGTTCAATTATAATACTCTCATAGGGTACGTCTACACTACAGCACCAGTTTGAACTAACGCGCCTAGAACTAAAAACTAGTTCGAATTAGCGTTTTGCTAATTCGAACTAGCAAGTCCACATTGAGTGGACTCTGAACAGGGCTTAAGGATGGCCGGAAGCAGTGCCGGCAGGGCATAAGAGGAGGACTTAGAGCATGGAGATGCTGTCTCAGGCTAGCCGAGGGCTGCGCTTAAAGGGTCCCGACCCCCACCCCGGACACACAGTTCTAAGGGGTGCCCCGCTTGCAAAGAAGTTCTGGCTTGGAGTGCCCTGAGTGCCCACACTGGGCACATCACACCACTCGGCCATCAGCCCGGCTGCACTTGCCGCAGGCTGCCATCTGGGGAGAGGGAGTAATTGGGGGGCTGCAGGAGAGCTTCCACCCCCAGAAGCCCGCAGAGCCAGCCCAGTCCTCCCCATCGGGGGCTCATACCCCATTCCTCCCTCACCTCCTTCCACTTACCCTTCCCTAGCCCCCCTTCTTATTGATGTACAAAATAAAGATAACGTTTCTTCCAACATTGACTCTGTCTTTATTGAACAAAACTGGGGGAGACTGGGAAAAGGAGGTGGGAGAGGGGAAGAGAAAGGCTGGGAGAGGGGAGGGCAACTAACATGATCAGGGGTTGGGAACAGGTCCCAGATGAAGAGAGGCTACAGAGACTGGGACTGTTCAGCTTAGAAAAGAGGAGACGGAGGGGGGACAGGATAGAGGTCTCTAAAAGCAGGGGTTGGGTGGAGAGGGTGCATTCAGAAAAGTTCTTCATGAGTTCCCATAAAGAAGGACTAGAGGACACCAAAGGAAAGGAATGGGTAGCAGGCTTGAAACTAGTAAGAGAAAGTTGTTCTTCTTCACAAAGCAAATAGTTAACCTGCAGAACTCCTTCCTGCAGGAGGCTGTGAAGGCTACAACTAGAACAGAGTTTAAAGGGAAGTGAGATCAAGTCATGGAGGTTGGGTCCATGGAGTCCTATTAGCCAGAGGGTAGGAGTGGTGTCCCTGCCCAAAGTTTGTGGAAGGCTGGAGAGGGATGGCACGAGACAAATGGCTTGATCACTGTCTTCGGTCCATCCCCTCCAGGGTCCCTAGGGTTGGCCGCTGTTGGCAGACAGGCTACTGGGCTAGATGGACCTTTGGTCTGACCCAGGACGGCCATTGTAAGCTCAGGGCTCAGGGTCGGGGGTCTCAGTGGACCCCCTTGATTTTCATGCACACCTGGTCCTGGGTGGCCAGGCTGGCAGCCCTCCTGCCCTAGACGGCCACTTTCCTGTGCCTAGTGCAGAGATCGTGGACGAGGTCCACGATGTCCTCACTAGCCCAGGAAGGTGCCCTCCTCTTGCGGTCCAGGGCAGTAATTCACCGTGCCAGGTGCAGGGTCTGCTAGCTGGGTGCTGGCAGGCTTGCACCTGGCACGGGCACCGTAGCCAGCCCCTGCCCCTTTAAGGGGTCCGGGGCCGGGAGGGGGGCAGTAGAGTTTCCCTGGTGTTGGCCAGAGTGGCCACCAGGGAAACCTGGGGAGGGCTAGCCTCCCACTAGTTCGAATTAAGGGGCTACACACCCCTTAATTCGAACTAGCTAGTTCGAACTAGGCTTAATCCTCGTAAAATGAGGTTTACCTAGTTCGAACTAAGCGCTCCGCTAGTTCGATTCAAATTCGAACTAGCGGAACGCTAGTGTAGCGCCTATTAAAGTTAGTTCGAACTAACGTCCGTTAGTTCGAACTAACTTTGTAGTGTAGACATACCCATAGAGATATGAGGAGCTAGCATGTCAAATAACAAGTTGCCACCTTTACAACAGCATTTGTAGGGACTAAACAGTTGGAAATAATGTCTCTCCTCTGACACAAAAAGCTGTGTTAATATACTACAAATTATTCTTCTGAACCCTGATCAGCCCTATCTATGTTCTTGGGTAGTGAGGGACAAGGCTTTACACTAGGTCTATGCAAGTCCTAGGGCCTGATTCTCTTTTTTATACCAGTCCAAGTCATGAGTAACCAAACTGAATTCTGGAGTTATAGATGTGGAAATTTGGTGCAAATAAGTGGAGGACTGGGCTCATGGTTGTGCAGCCTGTCTTTCTGTAATTCTTAGAAAGACTTATGGTAGGGCACCACTAAATGCCTCTAGAAAAGCAGGAGCCACCATCTGCCTAGACAGACCCGTCTAGGGCCACGGACACTACCAGCACCCGTATTTATGTCACCAGACAGAGAGACATATTATCGTTGCCTCCCTCAGTGTTACTCTGGCCAGGAAATGGCACTTGGCATAATTTAAATGCAGATGAGTAGCTAAATATGACTTACAAAATTCAGCTGGTAACAGCTGTTTGTATCAGAAGTCCATTCATTGTGGAAGGTAAAAGTTTAAGTAGAGAATTAAAATCCATTTAATACAGATTGGCCACTAAACATGTCACAAAAACCAGCTAAAGATCACTGACTTTCAAAGTGAAGGAAAACAAAAAACGGAAGCCTATATTATTATTTAGCCTATAGGATAAAAGCGAGAATGTAGAGAATGAGTATTTACAAGAAAATCAGTTGAAGGTAGCCTGTACACAGGCTTCCTGGCAGCATGGACTGATTCCTTCCCCGCCCACCCATTGTCCTGTGTCAGTGCAACCTTGTACATCTGATTTATCTACCACACAAAACAAACTTTGAAGTTTCTGAAAACTGGAGTTGTTAAAAAATGACACTTTTTAATCTTAAAAAGCAGGCATGGAAGAAAACCACAACATTTGCCCACAGAAGCAAACTCTTAGCAGGTTAAATTGAATTTTTTCAGTGCCAGTTCAGTATTTTTAAACCATATTTACAGTATTATGTCATTTTTCTCATTTTAGGTTATATTTTTAAAGTTAGTTCTGTGGACATCTTTCTGGCATAGACCATGCATTTTCATAGATTCTTGTATGTATAATTATTATTATTAACAATGACGATAGTAATTTGTATTGTATGACCTAGAACAGTGTTTCTCAAAGTGGGTCACAGGCCCACTTTGGGAAAGCTTTTAGCGGGCCCATGCCACTTTATTTACCTAAAAAATCCATAGCCATGGAGCCTTGCAGCTACTGTTGGCTCTGGTTCACCATTTCGAGCCTAGAGGAGCCGTGGGAAGCAGCAGGCCTGTGGCTCCCTGCAGCTTCTCTTTGCTGGAAATGGTGAACTGGAGCCAATGGGAGCTGTGAAGCTCTGTGGTTACAGACCCTTTAGGTAAACAAAGTGGCACAGGCCCACTAGCGGCTTTCCCAAAGCGGGCCAGTGGCCCACGTTGAGAAACATTAACCTACGCCTCTGTGTTTGATGCTGTAGAAATGCTTAACAAAAGAGATGGTCTGTGCCCCAAAGAGCCTACAGTCTGAGTCACTCTAAGTAGCACTTACAGTCTGAGTCAGTAAAATATTGCACCTATCTATTGAGAAGTAGAACTAAATATGCCACTTACGTTGAAAATGCATTATTCTGCTTTTCACATCGTATTCCTTTGCAGCTGTTGGTTTCATTTGTTTCATAATAGAAGTACAGCTGGTTCAATCCATTTGCAAAAGCTAGCAGCACAAGACAGTATATGAATAGAAATTTTAAAATGTCCAGTAACATTCTTCCTAGAGATATTTGCAGAGGTCCCAGGTGAGAATTTGCAGTAAATAATGAGATCAAGCGCAGAGAACTAAAGATGTTCGCTATAGCAAACAAAGCCTCAGCCACCAATGTGGGGTGCCACATATCCCAGTTTTCTCGTAGGAGCACCCCACTATACTGGAAACAAAACAGAAAAGGGAAAGTTATCATTTTGTTTTCATACAGAATCCAAAGTTCTTCAGTTTCTTTGCTAAACCATTCTGTTCAGGCACCAATATGACAAAATGTAAGCCTTTTTTCTTTCTTTTTTTTTTTTTTTTTTTGAAAGTACTGTGTCTGGTTTATCTCTTTGAAGGAGTTTATAATCTTAATATTAGAATAAATATGGTTTGTGTGTTTGTCCTTATCCAAAAACTTCATCTGAAGAGTAATTTATACTAGCCTTTTTTGTATTTTATTATAATTGCAGTGAAAGGACTAAATGTCTGGTCTTTTTGTAATTATCCATGACAGAGTAGAAAAATTGTACACACTGTAGCTGTATTTAGCAAATTTATGAAGATCTGGCTTTCTCAAAAGGCAGAAAGTAGGTGCTGGATCCTGCAAAGTCAATGAAACTACTCAAATGAACAAGAATACCATATATAAGCATTTGCTAGATTAAGGCATGGATAATTGCTGAAAAGTTTCTATATAGTAAATAAAGAATGAAAATATCATTTAATCTCTAATATTAAAACAATGCCAATATCTATGCCATGCCTAATTGTTTACTTACCTTGTTTTCAGTCAGTCTCGTCCTTGTATTCATGAACCTTTAACATTCCAAGCCTACCAACAGGTTCCATGAAGCTGAAATGCATTTTAAAAGAAAGCCTTTCTAAATACTATTCTATGATTGTATTGATTACCTATTGAGTATCTGTAATATGCTCAGTGCTGTTCAAAACATAGCAGAAGACATAGGGCTACATTCACAAAAAGACCTAACTATCACATTAGGAACCAAAATGCCAGAATAAGACCAATGGGGCTACGTCTAGACTACAGGGTTTTTCCAGGATACCACTGGTAACCCAGAAAAACTCTCCTGCATCCAGGGAACGCGTCTACTCTTCCACTCTTTTTATTGTGTGGAAGAGCAGACGCATTCTTTCAGAATCCCTGTCTTCCTCATTCCACGAGGAAGAAAGGCTCTTCCAAAAGAGGAGGGTTTTCCAAAATTTGGCCCAGTGTAGACGGGCCAAATTTTGGAAAAGCCTCTTCCGAAAAACTATTGGAAAAAGGTACACATATTGTGCTCCGCAATTTGCATATCTTTTTCTGATACAATATTGTAGTCTAGACGTAGCCTGGGGTTCATAAAACCTCTGTACTGCTCTTCCCAAATACTGTAGTCATTGGTATCTACATTTTTCCAGTAAAAACTCCCTAAGCATTTGTGCTTCTGCCTCTGCACATGTACAATGCTACCGCCTGCCAGGCGTCTGGACTTCTTAGTTCCCAAAACAATGCATGAACCAGGGGAAGACAGACATTGGAACTGAGAGGCCTGATTGGTAAGCATGCTCAGAGCTTGCCCACAGGGGTCTGATCCAGTAGGTGAGATCACACATAACACCTGTGCTGTGTCTACATTGGCACCCCTTTCCGGAAAAGGGATGCTAATGAGAAAGTCGGAATTGCAAATGCCACGGGGGATTTAAATATCCCCCGCGGCATTTGCATGAACATGGCTGCCGCTTTTTTCTGGCTCGGGGTTTTGCCAGAGAAAAGCGCCAGTCTAGACGGGATCTTGTGGAAAATAAGCCCTTTTCCGCAAGATCCCTTATTCCTACTTGAAAGTAGGGCTTATTTTCTGCAAGATCCCGTCTAGACTGGCGCTTTTCTCCGGCAAAACCCCAAGCCAGAAAAAAGCAGCAGCCATGTTCATGCAAATGCCGCGGGGGATATTTAAATCCCCCGTGGCATTTGCAATTCCGACTGGTCTCATTAGCATCCCTTTTCCGGAAAGGGGTGCCAATATAGACACAGCCCTGGTGGGAGAAACAGGACCTCACTCAGAACTTTTACCTCAGTGTAAAAACTTGGTGTGTGGGACCTGACCAGTTCAAGTTCCCACTGCAACTGGCAGGGCAAAGGGGGGAGAACTGAAGTATATCTCTCAGCTGTGTGGCCTAACCACTGAACTATGGGAGGGTATGTCTACACTACCCCGCTATGTAGACATACCCGTAGAGCTTGTGATGGGACTCCCTCCATCTTTCTTGTTGAAGTCTTTCCATGTGGATAAATAATGCAAGAGTCATTGGGTCAGAGAGAGGGAAAGAACGAGCAAGCATGAGAATAATTCTGTAGCCTCATGCTGAGGGCACTCACTTGAAAGGTGGAAGATCCAATTTTCATTGTCCAATGCCTTTCCTACCCACATCTACATCTGCATTCATGATATAAGGTTGTACCCCATGAGCAAAGTGGACAATGCACTGAATTTGTGTGTGAGGAAAACTCCATTTTGATCCTCATGTGAAAATGACCTATAGGCTCACACCAAATTAGTTCTTTCAATTTGTTAGTTAAATAATGTTTTTTCGCAAGGAATTATTCTTAGTTTCTGAATGTAGTGGGGGGAGAAAAGTCTCCCACAAAACAGTCAATGTAACTGTCTTTATGAAAATGGCTTTTAAAATTAAAAAAAGTAGTGGAACAGCCTCTACAGAGAAAGCCCTACCTCAGCCCAGGAGTGAGGGCTCACACCTGAAAGGTGGCAGAACCAGTCAAATCTCTGTGGGAGAGGAGAACCAGGGGCCTCCAACATCCAGGATGTGTACCTTAACCACTAAAACTTAGGACAGAGGTCCTCCTCTTCCCTCCCTCAAACTTCTTGCAAAAACTATGTAGGTGTCCACACCAAGAGGGGAAAGATACCGATTGTAAGCTGATTGTAATAAAAGTCCAGCCTGGACTTAGGTACCAAACTTTTGGAGGGAGGGTCAGCGGGTTCATGATACATCTCTCTCCTCAGCATATCCCATTGGCTAGTTGAGGAGAGGAGCTGATCCCACTCTGAGACACCTATCTCTCCCTATTCACAGGGGGTATGTCTACACTACAAAGTTAGTTCGAACTAACAGACGTTAGTTCGAACTAACTTTCATAGGCGCTACACTAGCGCTCCGCTAGTTCGAATTTGAATCGAACTAGCGGAGCGCTTAGTTCGAACTAGGAAAACCTCATTTTACAAGGACTAAGCCTAGTTCGAACTAGCTAGTTCGAATTAAGGGGTGTGTAGCCCCTTAATTCAAACTAGTGGGAGGCTAGCCCTCCCCAGGTTTCCCTGGTGGCCACTCTG